TCCATATGAGAAATAAATCAGAAGCTGAAGTCAATGAGACTATTACAACATAGCTTCGGTTGTCAGATTAAACTGGTCAGATTTTACAGACCTCAATCAGCTTTCTTTTAGCTTTTTATGAGATTAAGCAGAGAGGTGAGGCCAGGGGAGGGGAGTGCATCCTAGCCTAATCCAAGATACCTGAATATGCTGTCAAATGTTAAATCAGACTCATGTAGTCTTTACTCAGGTTGAGATTATTTTGCGTTATTCCAATTTGTTTGCTTGTTACATCAGAATTGGGTAGTGGGATTAGGCAGCAAACCCAGGTTGGTATAATGCAGCTGATGTAGATCCCGCTGGGCTGCACCGGTCCACTGTGATAGTTACAATGCACACTGCAGGCGTCATACTACAATGTGGTGTTTTGTCATATGTAGTCTCAGTAATGGACTCAATAGCTCAGTCTGTCAGTCATCTAGGGACAACAGTGGCCAGTGTGTTTTCCTGCGTTGCCCCGAGGCATTTTTTCATCCCTTCTTGCTGTTTCAACTCATTTTAATGGTTCTCGTTTAAAACAGACTGCCACCATCACAGTTTGGTTCTTGAGAGCATTAATTTGTAGTATGACAATATAGGGAAATATATGCATACTTTTCACGAGTTCCTCATCTTTCTGACTGTGTAAATGTCGTGCATTGAATCTTAACAGAAATGCGAACGAGAGACGTTATTATCTTTGACCCTTCAAATGAATGCGGTCATTTATTTTCAGAATCAAAGTTTAACATCAAACATTTACATTAATTTGGCAAAATATGAAAATAATAACAGACAAGTTTCACAGAAAATGGGCTTCAATCCCACGGCGGTGATTGAGGACTTTGCTTCAGATATTTCTAAAATATCTGTACTGATTTTAAGAGAAAGCAGAGTTTAAGATGGAAATGGAGATTTATGTTACAGAGAGATTTGTGAGGGAATTAATCTGTTTGACCAGAAAGCGTGCACGCTCCATCAGATCTCAGCTTGCCTCCGGTACACTTTAGTCGAAGAAGAAACTGTTACCTGGTTGACGATAGCTCACTGTCGGTATAGAATCCTTTAGACTCTTTCAGCGTCTCCGTTGAGAGCAGCTGAAATCCTTCGAGAGTCGTGCGTGGTGTTCAAACAGAAATTATAATCCCAAAACGTCTCTGGATCATCCTGAACGCGTTTGCACCCAAGAACTCTGACTCCATCACTCTGTGCACTCTCTAGTTGAACTCATTTCTGAGTACAGCAACACAGCAACCAACAAACTCCAGCAACTCAGCGTCTCAGCTTCTTGCAACTCCTGCATGAACTGGGAAGTTGCCACATTTTAAATGGGTCGACTTACGGGTCATTTGAGAGCTTTTGATTGGTCGATGGACCAGGAATAGAGGTGTGGTGTATGATGTAAGATGTTATTAAAAGTCAAGGATTGTTTTAGTGACAAACAGAAAGATTATTGTAGGACTTCAGACTTCGTGGAGTCTCACTCTTATTATCTTCTGAAAAAGTTTAAACATGACATTTTTCTCGGTAAACATTTTAGTTGACCGAGAACCGACCTTTAACATACTTACATTGCAGACAGAAAAATCAAGAAATGCATATTAACCTGATTTCTTCTTTGAATGAGGAATAAAAATCATTACTTACTGTTTATGTAAAATAAAAATGAGTAGTTCTTTTCAACCTGTAACATTGAGTGAACTAACACAATTTGATTATCAAACATTTGTAAAACAGTGATGATCATAGAGAATTGTCTTTTCTGCTTGATTAATTCAAGAAAGAAAGTCACCAGATGGCTCAAACTGTATTCCTGGATGCAGATCAATGAAGTAACAGTCTCAGTTCATCTGATCAAGATTTGAGGTTCAGATCAGGTTCACTACAAATTCTTACATGTAAGGATAAATTGTCTGAAATGTTTTGGATGCATCTTGTTATCAGTTGCTACTGAAGAGGACTGTCAAATCAGGCACATCTAAAGTGAAACTGTGCAGTTTAAGTACAAAACAAATGTCTGACAGGAAGCAGTTATGAAACGGAGTCAGTTTAAAATGAGTGTTTGAAAATGGGTGAGGCAGGGGGAGGGATTACCGTATTTTCCGGACTATAAGTCGCATCGGTCAAAAAATGCCTCATGACGAGGAAAAAACAATATACAAGTCACTTCGGAGTATAAGTCGCATTTATTTAGAAGTGTATTTCACAAAGTGCAAGAACAGACATTTAATCTGAAATAACAATAACACACAGAACATACCTGGGTTCCTGAACAGGCTTAATTAACATAACAAGCCAACGAGTCCGACAAGCAAGTTACCTGTAAATTCACCAGTCATTCCACATCACTGAATTCATTGACGTCTTCATCCTCGGTGTCGCTTCTGAACAACTCGGCCTTTAGGTGACATTTTACTTGTGTTAAGTTTTTCTCAGTTGTCTCTAAGTGAATGTTTGGGGGGCAGGGGGTGTTTAGCGGTAGAGGAACAACATAAAGTTATCTAAAACCTAGAAGGCCCCATCGCAGCTGCAAATGGTAATGTTTACTCTTTGGTTCATATCAGTATGAATGAACATTTAACGCGTCAGTCAAAAATTGCATCATGAACAGGGAAAAGAAGTAAATAAGTTGCTTCGGACTATAAGTTGTAGGACTGGCCAAACTATTAAAAAAGTGACTTATAGTTTGGAAAATACTGTATTTGGTAAGGTGGTGAAGATTAGAGGAGATATCTACAACTTGTGTTGGACCTCTAACAGCTAAAAGTCTCCGATCTGCGCCACCAGCGTCTTACAACACAATGCAGTCAAATAGAGATAAAAAAGTTAAAGTGCTGAATTAAATGGACAGGGTCATCAGGCTGCTCCTCAGTTTTTCTGATGGTCTCCTTTCACTCCTCCGTCATTCTGCAGGAACAAAGTGAGGACAGAAACACCAGGTGGCACAAAAGAGTCAAGCTGGGATCATACCTAATATCCATCCATCCATTTTCTTTACCCGCTTATTCCATTTTGGGTCACGGGGGTCGCTGGTGC